CCCCGGGCGCCTGCAAGCCTACCTGTCAAGCCGCTCCAGGCAGCCGCTGGTGGCCTGCGTCTTTGCAGCATCGATGCTGCAGGTCTTTCCGGACCCTTTCAGCTCAAACGAGCCAAATTTGATGCACTCAGCGACAGCAACTGTGCATAGCTGCGACAGGACGGCTGCCGCCACCAGCACGCCAGCCACGACGGTGTGTAGCGTCGCCCGTCGTGTCTGCTTGCTATGCTGGTGTCGATGCTGCATGATGATGTGAGGCACAACGTATTTTATACCTTGTTGCTGGCTATCTGGCGCTCCTGCTGGCAACACTGTTGGCCCACGGACCCAATCGAAGTCCAGGGCACACGCACACCGCCGGGGGATCTCGAGTGTTTCAGTCGTGATAGAGTCCGCCACAATAAACTTGTACAAGCTCAAGGCTACAACAACAGTACAGGTTGCCCCGTGCCCTGTACCCCGCTTGGCCAAGTGAGTGCTATTCTGAAGGTGTCCCGAGGAATAGAGTCAGGCTCAGGGTCGCTTCTGACAATCAAGTCAGCGAGTCGGCTGAATTGACCGTAAGTTGCCGCAAGCGATGTGCTGGAGCCAGCCTCGCGCAGGTGCTGTGTAGTCGACCGCACCATGTGGTGACACCCACAACCCCAGCCCAACTTTTGATACTGTTAAGACCAGGAAATGATACACATTGCAATCTTACTACATAGTGCTCAGTGGTGCGTCTGGACCAGGGCCACGACAGGGGGCCAACAGGGTGGCTGGGAGGGGAGATGTTTTGCTTCTGGGTGGAGCGGCGAGCCACTCTTGCATGATCGCCGCGCTTGGTCCTAGGAGATCCGTGTGCACAACAAAAAGCCCTTTACAGGAAAAATATAGAAAAAAATCTCTGAACGGCAATAGCAACTTTAAGGCCTAGGTTGGCAGGCCAATCTGGACAGCGCCGCCAGTGTGCTTGATTTGGGCCAGCGACAAAGCAGGGGATAAGCGAGCCTAGCGCGGCCTCACGCAGGGCGAGCGCGGCTCTTGCGTGCCTCGTGATGGATGCAGGCGCATGCCGCTCGCTGGCTGGAACTGCAACAGAGTTGTGCGCCTGCACACAGGTTCTAGGTACCCTGTGATATACGAGGGGCCGAGGTCTTGATGCTCCCAAGTGAAAGGAAGCGATGGGTGCAGTGCCTGCAGTGTGGTATAACGGAGCGCCAATGGACGGCATTCACTAGATGCAGATTGTCGTCATAAAATCGCCTTTTGCGGGGTTGATAACCAATCAGAGTGGCACTCGCGCCACACATACGCCCAAAGTCAGTCACTATGGTGAGCGGGTGGGTGCACGCAGCCAGGCCGCCCAGTCACAATCACATGCCCAGTTGCGGCGCGCCCTAGAGGCGACGCCCAAAGAGGCCAAACAGGCCACCACCACCGCCTCCACTCTTGGCGGGCGCGGCAGAGAAAAGGTTGCCAGTCGGCAAGTTGAACAGGTTGTTGGCAGGCGCGGCAGGTTGCGAGTTGCCAAACAGCGACGGTGCTGGTGCTGGTGCTGGTGCGGGCGCTGGCGCTGGCGCAGGCGCCGGCCGCGGGTTCTGGTATCGCACAGCCGGCAGCGCTGCAGGAGGCTTGGGTTGCGCAGGGGCCGGTACGATAGGCCCAGTTGGGGGTAGGTCGAAGCAGCTGCAGCGCGTGCACAGTGATGGGGCAGGCGAGTGAGCGCCGTGCGTTGAATGCCGAGAATGGCGACTAGCATTGTGTCAAGCCCCTGACTGCCCCATACGTGCAGTTTACCGATTGAGCGGTCTTGCTGCATCCACGACAGCACGCGCTGCCACAGCATGCAGCAGATGCATGCCAGCAACCCATGTGCTGGCCAACCACGGGCCGATCGTGACCCTCACCAGGTGTACTGAGCTGTGTAGGAGCAGCCGCCTCCTGCGAGGTGGTGCGCCGCCCCGCGGGCGGCGGCGAATCGCACGTGCCGGGGTTCGCCATCAGTGTGGGTGTGGGTGAGTGAGCGGGATGTCATGTCAAACATCCCAGCCCTGGGCCAGTGCGCTGCCACTATGGTGCGGTGTTGGCAGCGCATAGATGCATGCCTGGCGCCGCTCCGCACCTTTGACCTGGCGCTGATGGTTTGTGATCTTCACAGGGCCATCTTCTTTGGAGCATTTGCAAGGCTTGACCTTTGGAAAGGTCTTCTTGAGGCTGCAAGGAAGTGTGCAGAAAAGCAAATACCAAACTTATTGAGACCGACATGCGAGTGGGGCTGAGTATTGGCGCACACCCCTGCTGCGCCACACAAGCAAGCCAACTGCACTATGGCAGAAACCGGACTGAAGAGAGCGCTCAAGGCGGCCGCCGGCAGCAACACAGAGTAGGCCTTTCGCTGCGTCCTGCATGCTGCCCGCCACGCGCTGCGCCGCCGCGCCGCCGCTGCTGCCTGGGCAGACCTGGCCTCTTGGGTCTGGCAGTTTGCGGTGCCGTCCTTCAGGGCCTGGAAGCGGCTGCAGTCCTTCACGCCGACATTGTGAAGGTCAGAAGGACCCAGCGGCTTGCACTCCGCCGCCGAGGGTGCCGCCATGCCCAAAAGCAGCGCGGCCGCCAGGAGGAGCGCCAGAGCGGCCCGCCCCGCCACGCTCTGCACCATTGGCGCTTGGGTCGACAGGCGCCTGCGGGTGCCGGGGGCGCGGCAGGCATTACAGCAAGGCCACAAACAAGTGCCTGGGGCTGCCCCGGGCGTTGGCCTGCATGCATGTGGCGTGTGCTGCCCACGGCTGAAGTGGCTGGCGTGGTCACCAGCCAGAGCATAAGGTGCAGCAGCAGAGCCCGCCAGAGCTGCCGAACCCATCCCCAGCCTGATGATTGCCCGCATTATTTACTCAAACCTGGTGCGTTGGAGTGGCTCAGCGCCGGAGGACACCGGCGACAGGATCAAGGGTCGCGTCACAGCCCAAGCGGGCTGCGCGGTCCAAAGTAGCAGGTGAACTATTTTAAGTGCCTCTCCTTGTAAACTTATCAAAATCATTCAAAGTCGAGCACGTGGATATGCGCAGTCGCGCGCACCATCGGGATTGGACACAGGCCTCTCGCCTATATTGGAGGGGGTCAGCGCTGTGGCCTTGACTACCAGACAGCTGATTCAAGTTCGGGGGCTGCTTTGTGCTGCATCGCTGCGTCATGCAAGTTGCGACAGTGGGAGACAGTGGCGTGCGCTCGTCATCATAGCACCCTGATGGCGGGTTTCGGTGCCATCCTTATCATAGCGTATCGCTTGCGACATTCTCACATGCACTTGGTGCGCTGTGCAGAGGGCGCCTTGAATTCTTGACCGGGACGTGTTCCTGGTCAGCTTGGCTCAGCTCTGCATGAACGACAGGACCACTGCACTGCAGCACACCAACTGGCCTCCCAAACGCCCAAGGGCTGTGTTACACCCGTTGGTGCAAACAGTTGAACCAAGATGAGATGACGCAGTGTTGATCGCCACGCAGCCTGAAGGAAGCGTCAGCTGAAGTCCCGGTTGCGCAGGATAGCAGGCGCCACCACCGTCCAGAGGTACAGCGCTTCGCAGAACCACCTGGACACGCGGGTTGCGTAGGAGCGCGTTAAGGCAAATCAACGATGACTGCTCGCCCCATCTGGCGCAACTCAAGCCCCAAGGATTCATGATTGGGGACGTGGAATCAGGAGTGGGTAGAGGTTGATGCGAGGCAGTGACAGGCCGCGCCGGGCGCTGACGCGCCAGCGTTCCACGATTCCCCATGTCGAGGAGGATTCGTCCCGGGCTGTGACTCACTTTGAGCCCATGGTCACCCAGGTGCTGGTCCACCCCGTGCCCAGCTCAAATTTGGCAGTGCTGGACGACACCTGCAGCACGGCAAAGCGGCACACAGGGCGGCGCGGCGGCAGCAACAGCCTCAGGCATGCACTGAATCAGACCGCCGCTTCGTCATTCGCAGTGGCCGCACACGCCGTCTGCATCCACACGCCCTCCCCAGCTAGGGGAGGCTATACACCTTGCTTTTGTTCTGCACACGCTCCAACGCTCCCTCCGGAGAGGACTGCAAAACCCAACCCAGTAACGCACCTGCCAATTTGTGAACAACATGGCCATGTACATGGAAGCCAACGCGAACATTAGATGGAACGCGTCCGGCCGGTATGGCAAGGGACCGCTGTCGTTCGCCAAGTCCCCGCCGCCGCCGCTGGTGTCACCGCCGCCGCCTGCTTCGCTGCTGTCGCCGCTTTGCTTGCCGCCGAAGATTGAGCTCGTCCCCAGCGACATTGTGCTGTAGCAGACCGCAAATATTCCCAGGAAGAAGCCCACGATCTGACATTGAATGTGAATGTCAGGCGTGGAAATACATGTTAGAAGAAGATAAGTGCAAGGGGTGCAGGTGTCTGGCGCCACCCTAATTGCTGATGGCGCAGATGAGGGCGAACCCCTTCTTGGGCGATTACCCACGCCGTGCTGCCACGCTCCCATTCACGCACATACACCCGTGCGAAACACCGGCTGACACCCGCCTCGGCGCCGTCCTCACCTGCACCCACTGGTCGCTGACCGCCACCCGCACGCACGCGTCGCCCGGCACGCGCCCCAGGGCGCTGTAGAGGAGGTACGAGCAGTACGCAAACACGGCGCCGCTCGTCATCAGCCCCGCCACCTCCAGCCTGTTCGGGACGAACAGCACGCCCACGAGCGCGAACCCCACCACGATGGACCATGTGATGAAGAACAGGTTGAGGTGGCAGGCGGGGGTGGCCGCATAAAAGTAGTAGGCTGCGCCTATCAGCGCGAGGCCCCCGAGGATCGAGACCGCGGCGCCGAGGACCAGCGCCGCCCAGGCCGGCTTGCTGTCCCTGCGCAGCAACCACTCGTTGACGTCGTAGACCCACGACACCATCTCGATCATGACGAACACGAGGAACAGGCCCGCGCCGTAGCGCGCGACCTTGCGAGCGGCGGCAGGCGGGCGGGCGTGGGGGATCTTGGTCGGGGGGGCTGGTGACGGGATGCTGGTCAGCCCGCGGCACACCAGCGTGTAGCAACGCACCCGCTCTTTGCGCTTCAGAGGCAGCACAGTGCCACTTGCACCCAGCCCTCGCAAAGAGCCTGAGTCGCTCACCTGTGCGTACACCGTGATTGCGTTGGCTGGCACAAAAAAGAACCCGGCGATCGCGCCGCCCCAAGCCAGGATCTTCCAGAACCACAGCCCTGTGTGAATTCCCGCCCTGAAGTCGCGCTCCCAGGTGCACCAGAACAGCACCAGCGCGTGTGTGAAGAAGAATGAGAAGTTGGCAAAGCTGATGCGCACTGCGACCTGCTTGCCGCTGCAAAGGGCTTCATAGCCGGGGAGCTGGCAGTAGGCAAATATCGTGCTGTGTTTCAAAAACCAGTCATCGCTGTAGTCCCTGCAGATGGCAGCGGCAGACGTGACGCCCGACCAAGGTGTAGGTGAGAGATCCAGGTGGATTTCAGCGCCTCGCGGTCTGTGTGTCTGTACGCTTTGTGCGGGCGTGCTGCTTGCGAGCGTGGTGTGTGGGGTGGGTGCCCAACATGCTGCACCGCAACAAACGGCAGTCTGTGGCCGTATAGACGCCCTGCTGCTTCCGCAAAATCGGTGGGGCCGGAGTTGCAAGAATGCCATGTCGCTACATCAGATCATCAACAATTCGCAGCTGCTACCAGCAAGGGCCTGGCCACACGGTGCGGACGCAGCACGCGCAGCAGGGACGGGCCAGACTTGGACGCGGCCGGCTGTGGCGTCACTGCGTGCGAGCTGAGCCCGCCTGCTCACCTCAGGACCCATGTTATGACAGTGACGACTGTGAACAGGGCGCAGTAGGTCCACTTGGCCACCGCAAACGACCGCGCGATGTGCTCATCACGCAGCACTAGACAGCACACAGTCTGGCTGGCCCCCATCGCCGTGCCGTGCGCAGCGCTGACGCTGCCGTCGCCCCGGAAGTATATGCTGCTCGATGCGCCTCTCAAACGCCTCCAGGTCTTATCGCATCATGAATGCAGGGGAGTTGCCAGTGGAACCACCACAGCACAGCTCGCTTGCGGCCTCGTCAATGCGCCGCGTCTCCTGCTCCCGTGCGGCAGCACCGCTGGCTTCCCTTCGTGCAATGCTATACACTTGTACCGCAGGTATGAATGATTGCACGGTTTTACAGATGCGATGCTTGCACGTTCACCAGGCTAGCTAGGGCGGTGCCAGCGCGCTTTGACTGGCGATCCCTCTCCAGATCGCACAATGATCAAGACGCTGATGGCTGATTGCATGAGATGATTCGGCAGCGTGACTGGTGCATAGCTTGTGCTCACGCGGGGCCGCGAGCTGACTGTGCGCGGTCACCAGCTGTTGCAGAAGCCGGAGGCAGCTGTTGACATTGGTTCAGCGGTTACACGCAGTGAATTATTTGTAAATACCATATTCCAAGCAGTTTTTAAAGCGTGCAAGCCAGCGCTAGCACGCTCTGGTGACGAGCGCTCCTGCTCGCCGCCTGCAGCCTGCGCCAGCTGCCTAGAGTACGGTATCCCAGCCGATCTCCAATATGACCCGGCCTGTCATGCATCACCGGTACAGCAGCTTGATGCCCAGCCAGAAGCCTAGTAAGAAGCCGCCAACAGAGCTCAGCCCAAAGCCAAAGACGAATTCGTAGACACGCACAATCCACGTGCGGCAGTTGCTGAATGAGACGCGCCTGCAGTGTGAGACATGTGTGTTTGCAAGCGTGCATTCATGTGAGGCTGGAGCAGGCATGTTCATCCTCAGCGCAAGTCATGCAGTGGGGCTGTCATGCAGGAGGCAGGCAATCGCCTGCGCGCCTAGGCTCAGCCAAGCCGACACAGCACAGCCTGATCATGCCAGGCGCTGCCATGTCCGCTTCCCAGGCACAACGCGCGTACGCACCCTTGTTCGTTTGTGAGGGGTTTCAAAAAGGCGTGAGTCACCATCCCCCAATTGAGGGGGACAAAGCCGTACCAGGCCTGCGGTGGGGGGCATTGAGGGTGCCAGCTAGTCGCTGCAGCGTTGCATGCATGCACCTATGCGCATGCGCATGCGCCATGCTAAGGCGATTTTCCCTACGCGCAAGCGGCAAGGACATTGCAGACCAGGCAGGTTGGCACATGTGCTGGGTTTGTGCACTCACCAGGATCAGAACCAGCACAAAAACCACCACCACAGCAGTCGCGATGGGGGGGCCAAAGAGCTACAAGCACAGGGCGAGAGCACCGTGGGTGGCAGCGTCAGTGCTTGAGCGCTAACTGCGTGACTCTTGAGCACCCATGCGTAAAACATAGTGTCCGTCACAATCGCCTGGCCGATAACTTCCATTGCATCTCCCACGCTATTGCACGGGACTGTGCACCAGCTGGGAAAGTCATGCCACGACGCATGTCTCGGACTGCATTTCACACCTTCAGCGCCACTGCCACGAGGAGGCCCATGAGAGTGCAGGTCGCAGTGTGCGACACCCAAGCATAGACCTGCGTTTCGGCGCACACCAACACCTCAGCGCTTCTTTAGGCATGGCTTTTGGCTTCGCCCGACTGCGGGGTCCAGCTGCACGTGTCCCTGAAGCTGCAACCCAACCACTTTAGCATGTTGTGTCCCCCAGCCGCTCAATCTTCGACAGCAGCCGCGTCGCCCCCATCGCACCCACCCGCGTCGCTGCGCGCCGGAAGAGGTCTCGAGGCCGCCCAGACTCCCCCGAGGGCTCCAGCAACGGCTGCTGTGCAGACTCAATGTCAGGTAGGCCCGTTATAGTTGGAGCCATGGCTGCTGCTGCCAGGCGGCGCCAGCACTGTGTCCCACTCGGCTGGCTCAGGCGCACTCCAGCAGCGCTGGTGCCGGCAAGGTGCACCCAGCAGTGCGACTGGTCCCGCCTCTGCAGCTTCCGGTATGCGTTTTCAAAGCTTGAAGTGCCAAAACCCAAGAAACCTGTGTTGAGTTTTGCGCGGCCTCGTGCGCTGGCAGTGTCTGTCTAGGATTACCGGGCGTTGCTGCTTGACGTTGCGTAATTATCAGTGTTCGGATGCTGAATTCATACATGAAGTCGTTGCCATATGCTCAACGGCTGGTGATTGGGATCAGGCGATCTCAGCGGTGAGCTGCACAGCAGCTGCTGCTCCAGCAGCCAACGCGTTTGCTTCAGCACAGTGTTTACGGCTTGCTAGCTGACCTGATTGGTGAAATCAGATGGCTCTTACACAAGCTGCGAGCGTTTGCTGGAATAATCGGTCCGCAACAAAGGCAAAGAGGAGGTCGCAAGCAGAGCGCCATCAAAAAGCCAGCACAATGCTCACCCCGACCCACAACACCAGGATGGTCACAGGAGCTGGAAAGAGACCATGTACGAGTCACGTGCAACTGGATTACTTGTGACAAAGGAACGGCCTCTAGCCATGATCATGCACCACACTGCAAATCCCAATTATCTTACCCGGCACCCTGTGCATCGTCCCGGCGTGTGGTTTGCCACATCAGCATTACACATCACCGCTGCTGAAGAGACGTGCGTATGCCTAGGCGCACGCAGCCACGTCAAATCAGCAGCCTGCTGGCCCGTCATCGGCGCATGTGCGCGTGCTCTACGTTGCGCTCAGGCGACCACAACAGCCGGCCCCCTCCGGACTTGCCATGCAGGGGCTCAGCGCTGCAGCCGATGTAGATATATGCACCATGTTGTTGACAGCAGATACCAACCCCACACCCAGGTATCAGCTAGCCTGTTTGCTAAACACGGGATTTCCTGTTTGAGCCTTGCTGCATGGTGAAGAGCAGCTTCACGGTCACCGTCGGTCCAAGCGCGAGCTTCTGCCAGTCTATTGAAAGTTGATTGTATAAACAAGGTCACTTCAACACGTGTACAATAACGTGAACCCTGTTTGGGCCGAGCCACAACTACAACAAAACAGATCGCCACGTCCCTTGACCGGGGGACGATGCGCGGCAGCATGATGGCTAAGCTGGCATTCTTGGGGCTACTGCTCCTTTGTGCCGCGGCAGTAGAGGCACGGGTGCGCTGCCGGTTGACAGCAGAATGGGTTCGATAGTGTCCTGCTCGGGATCCGGTCTTACTTGGCGCCCTACAGCCCTTATCAGCAACCTAATTACTATTTTACGGATATATGTGCATGCCCACTACTCTTACAGGAGCCCAAGTCGAAGAACCCGCCTATCAAAAACCTGCCAGCAGCCCCCAAGGCCTGCACAAAAGAGCTGCGCAAGAAAATCGTCTGGGGCGGCGCCACAAGCGCGTATCAGATAGAGGGTGCTTGGAACGAAGACGGCAAGGGTCCCTCCATCTGGGATACTTTTGTGAGCACGCGGGCAGGCACCCATTGGCGCGGCAGCGTGGCTGTGCATGTGAATGCAGCCGTCGCTTAAGCGGTGTCAATCGCAGCCGCAGGCTTGCAGCGACGCGATTACCAGCCGTGACAGTGAGAGCGTCACTTGCAATCACCGTCTGCAGCAGTATGACCCCAGGTCGATTCCCCTCTTGCCATCCCAACAGCGTACCCACACCCTCATGCTGTGCGACCGTCACGCACACCCCTCCGCCCCTGCACACACACGCCCGTGCGCGCCACAACAGAGCCAGAAGGGTGGTGAGACCGTCGACAACGCCAACGGCAATGTGGCCAACGACTTCTACCACCGCTGGCAGGGGGATGTGGCGATGATGAAGAAGCTGGGGGTGAAGACATACAGGTTGGTGTGTGTGCGCAAGCTGCGCAGTTGGGGTGTGGGCAAGCATAGCAAGGGAGTGTGTGCATGCTAATGCATACTGTGCATGTTCAAGCAGCTGCTTCAGTGGTTGTGTGGTGCTGCGTCGGTTTGAACAGGAACAGCAAACAATGCAAGAATCGTTGCTGTTGGCTGCCGTGCCTTGCACCCTGCTCCCATGCACAGACGCGGCAGCCCAGCATGCGCCTCTTGCGAGCATCATGCGCGCACCTTGACCAATTCAAAATTGCGCTGTGCCAACCTGGGAACGGATCCCCGCCAACCCCCTGTGCCAGGATGTCGATCGCGTGGACCCGCATCGTCCCCACAGGCGCCGCCGGCTCCCCCATCAACGCCAAGGGCGTGGAGTTTTACAGGACCCTGATCACTGAGCTGCTGAAGAACGGCATCGTGCCCGCCATCACCATGTTCCACTGGTGGGAACACGGCGCTTTACACGGGGGCCCGGGGCGTGGGTGTCAGGGCGCCCTCACACAGCGGTGGCATGCGAGAGGGGGGTTGTGTGTCGGGAGCAGAGCAGCAGAGGCGGGTGGTGATTATGCGGTGGATGAGGAGCCTGTCGGGCTGTGACGGGGCGACTGGCTGGCTGGCTGCAGGAGGAGGAGAGCTTGGCAGCATTTGAACTGCTGTGCGCAAGCGAGATGGCGTTGCCTACAGCTGCGTGTCAAGCTGCCCTGAGCTTGCTTGCTCTGAATGCATATCCATGCCGGACCCCCTGTCCCTAGGGACCTGCCCCAGGGGCTGCAGGACACCATCAAGGGCTTCCACGCCGAGGGCACCGCCTTCCAGGACGCCTTTGTGTACTACGCAGACACCCTGTTCAGGGAGCTGGGGCCGCTGGTCAAGCTCTGGATGACGTGAGAGGCTTTGCAACTGTTGCCTTGTCACTGATGCCTTGCTTGTAGGGGTTTCGGCTCCAGGCAGCTTTGGGACGCCACGGCCACGGCACGCAGGATGCTGCAGGAAAAGAAAATGCAGCAGAGCGCTGGGGCGCCTTGGCTGGCGCGTATCGAGGAGCCACCAGGCAGGCTCGGACGGCTAGCACGCGGCCGGGGCCGTCGCCGCCATCCTCAAGCACAAAACATGCTTCGACATTTCCCTCACACCCCCTTCCCCCCTCAACCCAAACCCTCTCATACGACGACGACCTGAACAGCTTCAACGAGCCCATGTCGATCTGCGACCTTGGGTACGGCCAGGGCGTGTTCGCCCCCGGCATCAAGGGCGGCGCCGCCGGCCAGTACAAGTGCGGCCACAACCTCCTGCTGGCCCACGCCAAGACCGTGAAGCTGTACCGCGAGAAGTACATGGGCGCCCAGGACGGGAAGATCTCGATGGCTCTGGATGGGAAGTACGGCTATCCCCTTACGGACAGCGCTGCCGACAAGCAGGCGGCGCAGTACTGTGAGTACACGCTGAGGGGCAGGTTGCGTTTTGGGCCAGCAGGCGGCAGGGGGGGTTGGCGATTTTGCAGTGGGGCTGTGGGCATGGCATGACGTTGCATGAGCTGAAGGCTCTGATGCCTGTGCTAGCAGCATTGCGGAAAGGGCACTGTGGCATGAAGCATGTGGTGTCCCACCCGATAACGCCATGCTGCTGACTCGCTTGCACACACAAATGCACAGGCTTGCATGCGCGTGTGCACACACACACACACACACACACACACACACACATGCACACACATAACAAAACAACATGCACACACACCCGAACGTGACCCGTGTACACGCACAACGTGACATGCCACCCCAGGGATGGAGTTCCAGTACGGCTGGATGGCCGACCCCGTCTACTTTGGCGACTACCCCACCTCCATGCACAAGTTCATGGGCGACAAGCTGCCCAAGTTCACGCCCGAGGAGAGCGTCTTGCTCAAGGGCTCGCAGGACTACTTTGCCTGCAAGTGGGTTAATACAGGGGCGAGCTGGGCTTTGCCCGTGCTCGGTCTACAACCTCGTATCCTGCTCACTTTCCAACACCTTTTGTTTGGCACTGCACCGCCAGGTGCAGCACACGCCTCGCGCGCCAGACGTTGTCTCTGGCATTGCAACATGCAAGCAACCTCCAAGGTCCTTGCGCAACCCTGATTGCCTCTGACGATGACGCCATTCCCCTTGTGCAGCTTCTACAACGGCTACTTCATCAAGGCTCCCGCCGACCCCAACTCTGAGTTCCCCTACGAGGTCACCATGAAGGTGTGTAGTCTGAGACACCACTCAATTTGATCTGCAGATAATATAATCTGGTCTGCGATGATTCCTTCAACGTCAGCCCGGTCCTTCCCTGATCACAAAAATGCCTTGGTACAAGATGTGCCCTGGCCAGATTGTGCCGTGGTCAGATATATGCGCACTCGTCTGCGTCGGCCTCATCGTGGCCCCAATACAAACGACTGCTGGCGCTCCTGATTGCTGATCTGCCAGAACGAGAAGGGCCAGTGGGTGGGCGAGCCCTCCGCCAGCTCGTGGCTGTTCCGCACCCCTGACGGCCTGCGCAAGACGCTGGTCTGGCTGGACAGCCGCTACAGCGTCGACGGCCGCAAGGTGGGTGGTTGTTCAGGATTGCGAGGGCTTGGCGCCACTGACCTGAATCCTCAACCGTAGAGCCTGGCCCGGACCCTGGCTCCAGGACATGTTTTGCAGCCTGAATGCTTCCCAAGGCGCTTGTCCCCATGCTTGAGCAGATGCTGCTAGCGCCTCGCATATACTGCACGTTGTTTATCTGTATTTTGTCCAACACGCCGTCCCTCCGCGAAACCGTTTCCGTTGGCTTGCCCTGGACAGGTAGAGTTCACGATCAGCGAGAACGGCGTGAGCGGCCCCGGGGAGGCGTCGCTGCGCCCGCCGGCGGTGCTCCAGGACAACTACCGCCTGCGCTACTACTCGTGAGCACGCCCAGGGTGGAATCATGGGTCTCTGCTTTGTTATATGTCCTGCAGAGCTGATATGAAATGAGCTGGGCGGATTTCGCACGCCGGTGGCGCTCCAACCGCCCTGGCCACGTTGATGTGTCCGCACCTGGCTCGCTACCTGGCGCTCTGTGCCCTCATGGTGTCAGCGGGTGTGCTGCTGCTGTCACTTTTTATTCCAAGCACTTGTGCCTTTGATAAATTGTGGATATTCAACCATATCCACCCACAGGACCTACCTTGACAACCTGTGCCTGGCCATCACCGAGGACAACATCAAGTTCTCCACCTACTGGGCCTGGTCCCTCTGGTGAGGCTTTGAGGGATGCCGTCCTGCGCAATTCTTGCGGATGTGGCCAGTGTTGAGTGTGTGGCTCACACACACGTGTTTTGGTGCCTGTCAGGGCTGCTTGCTTTTGGGGAAAGACTTGCTTGTTGGTGCAGATGCATACTGACCGCCAGTGCCTACAACCGCCTCTCAAGTTTGGAGGACTTTCTCTTGCTTGTGTCCTGACACCCCCATCCCCATCAACCTCGCCGTGCTCATCGTCCTCAGGGACAACTTTGAGTGGCGCCAGGCCTACACCGAGCGCTTTGGCATGATCTACGTCGATCTCAAGGTGAGGGCCTTGTTTGCTCATCCTGCTTTGCTTGCTGGCCCTGGGCCATAATCGACCCCGCCGTGGACATTCTTGCAGTAAAAATCGACATCGCAGTCTGCGACGCTGCGGTCAAGGTCGCCTTCAAGTAGTCAACGTACCCCCGCCCCCCCCCCCACACACACACACACACAAACCCTCGCTACGAACACCACGCAACGAGCCCGCTGCCACGCCGTCAACAACCACAGAACGGCCTGGAGCGCGTCCCCAAGGCCAGCGCCTACTGGATGTCAAAGTACTTCTGGTCCGAGTCGGCCCTGTTTGAGTCCTCCTACTACAAGGGCCTCTACAAGAACCGCCACGCCTCCAAGGAGCGCAAGGCGCGGAAGAGCAGCAAGGCCTGATCTGGAGATGAATCAGCGACCGAGAGCGCCCCACAGACAAGAGCCGCCCGCGGGTGGCGCGGGGATCCTGAGGCACGGCCCAGGGTGCGCTGGTTGGCGCGCAAGCACATGGGCATGCGTGCCAGACGGGCCTTCTCGTAGTTGAAAACCGTGCATCAGCAGTATCGATTCACACACATTAGCGACACAGCAGCTTTGTTCGCTGCCATCTGCGTTGCCACTTGACCCGAATGGGCATTGATTGCGACTTGTGACTTCCCCATGTAGTGCAGCGCCCACAAAAACTGCCCGAGCCGCCCGAAAAGCAACCATCATGCCCATGACGGCACGCCGCATCATGTGTGGGGCCACATCCACATCTCCTGACCAAGGAGTGCGCCCGGAGGCAGCGGCGAGCGACGTCAGGAGCGCCATGTGCGCGCCTGCCCGCTCTTGTCGCAGCTGGCTAGTGTAACCAATCACTCTCGTACCGCCCCGGCTACTCAGGGCACGGGTGACACTGCTTGCGCGCAAGTGAATTGTGTTTCTTCGGCAATGCAGCAGCTGCTTGCGTATACAATTGAAGCGGTGTCATAAAACTTCGTGCTGTCAAGTACCAGGGCTTGGTACCGCGTGCAATTTTGATTGTGTGCCGGGGTCACGGCATGAGTGATGTGTCAGTGCAAAAGTGACTCTCGGTGATGTCACCCAGCACACCGGTTGCTTGCTGCAAGCCAGAACACCAAGATCCCATTTCGGTCTTGGTATCACCTTCATCAATTCTCTGAACCAACTACCTACGGCTTGACAGACCCGCGTAAACATGGCGACGACCGCGAAGGGCGCCTGGCCGGAGAAAATGCACGAGCAGGTGATTAAGAAATGTACCAGCGAAAATCTTGACACATAGAACAGGGTGCGGAAGCGGGCGCTTGCGTTGCGTGTCCGCGCCGACGGCAAAGGCATCACCTCTCAGCGCCTGCTCGTCGCATTCGCGCGGTGCGCACGCAGATCTCTGGCGAGCACCAAGTGCAGCCCGGGCTGGAGTGGAAGATGGACACTGTGAGAACTAGCGATGGCACCTGGTTTGTGGGCTCTTCGCCCGGGATCGTGCGCTGCGAGATCTACCCGCGCCGTCGCCGCCCGCTCAGCGACGTCACAGCAGGCCGCAACCCTTGCGCATCAGCCGTGCTTGCTGCCAATACACGTGTACGGGCCCGCTAAACCCCGCGAACGCAGAAGCCTGTTTTCATCCGCGACACGTACAAGGGCAGCGGCAAGCTCAAGGTTGGATGCAGATCGCACCCGACTGCCGCACATGTCATCAGCAACACGACCTGTATAGGCTGCCTGCTGCCCACCAGCCGTGCCTCGCCCTCGCCCCAGCACCAAATTTTCAGACTGGGCTGGGGATGTGTTGCAGCATCACAAACCACGTGTCCTGCCTCACCCGTTGCATCAACCATGTGCAACTCATCATGCAACAACCAGGACAAGGTGGCCCTCATTACTGGAGGGGACTCCGGCATCGGCCGCTCCGTGGTGAGGCCGCACTGGAGTCGCAGTCCTCAATCACAGTGTTTTGGTACAAAATGCACACCCCGAACTGTTGCCAACCGCGTCTCACCAGCGGCTGCCTGCCCTGCCTCACTCCAGCCAGACTTAAGGCGATTTGGTCCCAGCTATCACACGCACGGTCATTTGCTGCCTCTGCATCCCACCTTTCCACATCCCAAGCAGTTCACGCCTGCCTGGCTTCTGCTGACCACACATGCTTGATACGCCTGTCCTTGATATTTGTCGCCACGCCACCCCCCTCTTCAACCGCCAGTCCCACTTCCCAATCTCCACCCCCACCTCCACCCTTCAGGCCGTCCACTTTGCCCGCGAGGGCGCTGATGTGGCGATCCTGTACCTGCCCGAGGAGGACAAGGACGCGGCCGAGACGGAGGCCCTGGTGCAGAAGGAGGGCCGCAAGTGCCTGCTGCTGTCCGGCGATGTCGGCTCTCACGACGTGAGGCGCGCGTCGCGGGGGCAGCTGGGCGATGGGCTGGGGCCATTGGCGGGTGTCATCGCGGGGGCTTTGGCTGCGGGTGCGTGCGCTTTGGCTTGCCGGTCAAATGGGTCGATGGCAGGGCAGAATTGAACCGCGCAATGCACCTGTTGGCCTCTGTTTGAGCGGAGGGTCGATGCAGTGTGGTTGGCTGTGCATGGTAGGGGTCAACGCACCCCCATGCTGCTTGATCGCCGTGCTTCCAAATGGTGTTGGCCGGCGCCATACAAAAGCATGTGCCTGTCCTCGCCGGCCCCATCTCACATGCACACCCTCGCATGACCCCCCCATCAGTTCTGCCATGAGGCAGTGAGCAAGGTGGTGTCTGACCTCGGGAAACTTGACATCCTGGTCAACAACGTGAGGGGTCAACAAGGATGATAGTTTGTACAGTATGCCAATATGCTTGGGGGGATCGATTGCAGCGGCATCTTGGACGGTGAACCCTGGCCAGAGCCCAGCGTGCACGCTCCATTATTTGGCTCGCCGGGCCCAGCAGCCAGGCCGGGCCCAGCAGCCAGGATCGACTCCATCATTCTCTGGCCGTTGATGCGGGCCGTAGCCGGCGCTCCCGTTGCACGCGCAACATGGCCCAACGGACACGCGCCGCTTGCTTGCGTCTGCAAAATCCTTCTGCGAGCACTCTTGCTGCGTGAGCACCCCACAGCGCAACGCATCCTTGCTTGCTCTGGCGTAGCCCGCCTCTTGGCCTCTCACACTGGCCTTTGACTGTTGCACACACATGCGTGTGCAAACAACAGGCGAGCCAGCAGCACTACCATGCTGACATCAGCGAGGTGACCGAGGAGGTGCTCACCAACTCGTTCAGGGTGAGTCGGGTGTACCTTTTCTGTGGTAGAGGGCCAACGCTTTTTTGTATAAAAAGTGGTCCAATTCGTCCAGATGTGCACAGAAGTTGCTTGTGACCATGAGGGGTTGCCCCCAGCCAATGCACAACCTGACGTCGGCGCGGGTCAGGTTGGGCGTTGACTGGGGGAGAGGAGCGTTATCACGCAAGTCTGGGCGGGGTCTGCTGTCGCGTGAAGTTGCTGTACTGTGCATCGGGTTTGGGGTTGTGGCACCAGTGTGCACCTCGCTTAGCCAAGGGCCTTAGCACTTCCGGCAGCAGCGTGCGAGAAGGTTCACTCGTCAAATAAAGATACCCAACGGAAGTTTGGGGACCCTCCTCTGCAGCTCAGGCACTCATATGTGTGGTGACCAGACGCACGCTCAATACGTTTGTGGAGCCGCTGCCTTTTGCTCGTGTCCTAATCTCTGTGCCCCAGTTCACTGGCTCCATCTCACACACACACACACACACACACACACACACACACACACACACACACACACACACCGGCACCCCACAAAAACCCTTTCACGCGCGTGCCGCCCATCAGACCAACGTGTGCGGATACTTCTGGATGGCGCAGGTGAGGCGCGCCATGGCTGCAGGCGGCCGCGGCAGGGCGTACCAGGCCTTGCCCCTTACAACCCGCTGCTTTGCACGCATTGCTGTCATGATTGCTCTGGATGGCAAGGGTGAATGCTCATGGAAAAACTGGCGGCGCATTTGTGCAGTGTTGCAGCAGCAAGACGCTGCATACCGGCAGCTTTGCCAATTTTGACGCCCGCTGCAAAAGCCGCTCACCTGCATACACCACCCAATCAATTGCCTCCTCCGGCCCAAGGCCGCCCTGAAGCACATGAAGGCGGGGTCCAGCATAATCAACACCACCAGTGTCACCGCGTACAGGTGTGTGTGTGTGTGTGTGTGTGTGTGTGTGTGTGTGTGTGTGTAAGAGCAGCAGCAACAGGGGGCTGGGATGGGGCGGGATGTGGGAGGGGTTCATGTGGTGGTGTGATGAGGTGCGTGTTGGTTTACAGAATGAAGTGGGCCGGAGTAGGTAGGGAGGTGCTGGTGTGTATTGTACAGTACTGGGGTCTGTGCAGGCTCCAGGTTCGCGCCACTTGCGCCGCCGGCGGTAAGTGTCCGCCATCTTTGCAATGTGCAGCTGCGTGCGGCGCCGGGCAGCCATCATCAGGCAAAGCAATGCGTGGGCTGGCCGGGGCTGGTGGCCTATGAATGCACGCAGATCCGTCTGGGACATGAGCGATGGGTTGTCGCGTTTCCGGGGGCCGCCTCTGCAAACCCTCCTGAGGCCAGCGGGCTGGCAGCATTGCAGATCTGCAGGTACATCTAGATGTACCTGCAGCATTCAGCATTCCAAGGGGCACTGGGCGGCCTCGCCCCACTTGTGAGCGTCGCCCACAGCGCCACAAACTACATGCTAACCACTAAGGCTCCAGGTGGCGCTGCCACCCAAGGGTTGAGACTCACCCTTTGAGATTTGCCGTGTCACCCTGCTTATCTCCATCTCCTTTATACATCACAGGGGTGCGAGCAAGCTGCTGGTCTACTCCGCCACCAAGGGCGCAGAGGTGTGGGGTTGTGGGTCAGCAGGGGTGTGGAGGTGGGGGGTTGCAACCCCACGCAGTTGCATGGGGAGCAGCGCGGTCGGCGCAGCCTGGTGGCGCGGCCATGGGTGTGGCTGGGCGTTGGCATTCACTCCTACAGCACGCTCGAAGCACATTGGCAGGCCACTAGTGGCTGACACGCGATCACTCAAGCCATCCAGGGCTGGTGTCGAGTTTGATTCGAAGCCTGGCACTCCCGCGCGCCACACACCCTTGCCGCTCGTGCGTCGTCCTGATGCAGCCCCGCCCCATGCCAAACTTAATCCTGCGTGCAGGTGGCTATGACGCGCTCCCTGGCCAACCTGGCGGTGCAGCGGGGCATCCGCGTCAACGCGGTCGCGCCTGGGCCGATCTGGACGCCGCTCATCCCGGCCACCTTCCCCAGTGAGAAGCTGCTGGGGCGTGCGGGGGAGAGGGGCGAGGGGCGAGCGCCTCGCATGTGGCGAGGGTGTGTGGGGGCAAGGGGGGACGGATGGGGAAGGGTGAGGCCAGGGCAGGCGGGGGGGATCAGGAATGGCTAGAGCTGTTGTGCAGACAATCCGCGGTTGGCGCAACTTGGCGCAACGTTGTCGGCCTTCGCTGTTCCTCACGCCACGGGACCCATGCGTGCGCGCCTATTTGCGCGCCTCTCATCATTTTTTCAACTACTCTCATGTTTGAGATGGACCTGAGACCCCCGCCCCTTGCTGCTATGCAGAGGAGAAGATTGAGGAGTGGAAGGACGAGGCACCAATGAAGCGCCCGGGGCAGCCTGCGGAGGTTGGGCCGTCCTACGTGTTCCTGGCCAGTGAGGTGTGCAGCCACTTTCGTGTGTTGTTGGGTGGGTGATATGTGTGTGTTGTGTCTGCGCGTGCATGTATGTGTGCAATCATGCAGACACGCGTCTTCCTCTCGTCAAACCGCGTTCTGCGGCAGTGCCCACTGCAAATTCCAAAACCTGTGGCCTTATCCAACTTACCCCGTTTTGATGGCGTGACCCCACCTGCGCACGAAAATCAACCCCCAACCTCGCCCCCCCCTGCTGTCCTGAATGCGTTGGTGTGCAAACCTAGGATGCCTCTTTCTACACGGGTCAGACCCTGCACCCTGACGGCGGCACTCCCCTCAACACGTGATCTTCTGGCATCATCGTTCAAGATGGCAGCCTGGCGCGGGTGGCGCCTGGTGGCTGCTCATGCATGCGGTGGCGAGCGGCAGCGCAGCCCGCGGATTTCTGACGAATCTTGCTGGTGGCAGTGCAGGGACGAGCAGGCTGTGGTGATTGAGGTTGAAGGTGTGTTGCTGCCGTGCGTGCGCGCGTCAAGCGTGCATTGCCCCAGCGCTGTAGTTTTTCGTGGCCCCTGCTGCAGGCCTGGGTGTCCCATTTCAAAGGCTCCCTGGACGTCAGTGGAGGGAGGTGTGCACATAGTCATGCGGTGTTGATGTGCATTTTGATGGTATATCCTATGTGGAAAAATCTTAGGGAGGATGTGAAGGTGTGTAAGACAGCAGGGTCCTTGAAGGCTACTCTGGCGCTCCGGATGGAGTAGCTAGCAGAGGGCAGGCCAGCTCAACCAGCACTTTAAAGATGGCAAGACAGCAAAACTAGAATACCAGCAACCGCTGCAGAGCTTGTAATCATCCATATCATACTTGAAACGGCAGGCTAGAGCTTGTGCACTCAGCACTGGTGTTGCAAAAGTGACTCGTTGACGGCAACCATTGTGACGGCTGAACCTTGCCGCCCGAGCTTGTGACAAGGCAGTGGTCAACCCGCATATATGCGCCAGGTTCATTATCATCTTATGAGTAGTAAGTTGCGAGCTGCTGCTCCTTGCCGCACACCCCACTTCTTTCCGGTGTGCTGAGTGGCTGACGTGGCTAGGACGTTTGCCTTTCCACGTGTCTGGTGTTGTGTTATAGTGATCGTAGACGGTACCACACAACACATACACCTTGTCTAGCCGCCATTTTTACAGAGCGTGCCCTATCTCAGCCGAGCGGGCCTTTTTCAAGCACGGTCTCGCGCCTAGTCGATCTCTGTGAAGGCCATGGCCAGCACCAGTGCACAAGCGCGGCTGTCAGTCCTCAGCAAGCACCTCTATGCGGACATCGAGCAGCTGCAGCTGCAAAACACAAAGGCCGATGATGCCGTCCGTCCCGCGCCTGGGGGCGGCCGTGGGACGCTCACCGTGGTTGACAATAGGACAGGCAAGAAGTACACGGTGAGCACATGTGCCGCAAGGCGGCGCGCCGCCCGCCCGCCGCAAAGGGCGCCGCTTGCCGCAGCTGCCCATGCAGGCGCTATGTGTCCCCGCAGCGGTGGTCTTATGCCTGGAAACATCGCAGGATGTCAGAAAGCGCGGCATGTTAGTCATGTGCCGATGAGCTTGAAAGGTTTCGGCACCCGCCCGCCACATGGGCGCACTTGAGGCCGCCTGCTGTGAGCGCCCACGCGTGAACTTGCAACGTCCCGCGCCCCCCGTCCGCCCCCGAATCGCGTTCATCTGTATACACAGGTGGAGATCACGGAGGGCGGCACCATTCCCGCTACCGCACTGAAGAAGATCACCGCCGGCGGCGACGGCGCAGGCCTCCGCACATACGACCCGGGGTGAGCCCCGCCCGGCACCCCCGGCGCCTGTCGCGGTCGCCCACACTATGGGCGTGGTCCCGTTCGCAGACCCTTTGTGCATGAACTCTGACTTATGCTTGCAGCGGGCTTCAGAGCTTCGCTCCTTCGTGCCTTCCACAATCTCTCCCTGACCGGCCGCACCCACACTCGGCCCCCGCTGACAACCTTGTGACCGGCCGCAGCTACACCAACACGTCCGCGGTGATCAGCCGCATCTCCTACATCGACGGCGACAAGGGCATCCTGCGGTACAGGGGGTACCCCATTGAGCAGCTGGCGGAGCAGAACTACTTTGAGGTGCGCTGGCGTGCGGGGGCATGGGGGCGTGGGTGTGAGGGTGTGTGGATGTGTGGGGGCGAGGGGTTGAGGGTTTGCAGGTGTGTGGGTGTGCGGGTGTGAGTTTTGCAGATGTGTGGATGAGTGGGTGTGATGGTGTGATGGTGTGTGGGGGAGGGGGTGAGAGTGGTTGAAGTGTGTTCTTGTGTGTGTGGGGGGGGAGGGTTGCATGTGTGTGTGCACTGGTTGGGAGGGGGAGGTGGTTGTCAAAATGTGGCGGCGGG